TGCTGCTGGGGGCATTCCCCCTGCAAATTTTGAGCTGTTCTCTGTCAAACACTTCCAAACTAAAACTTCCTCTCCTGTTGCTGCCCCAGGAGATGGGGTGCATGCGAAGGACCGCGAGGAGCTCCAGTGCCCCCTCCCCAGCCGCTGCCAGGACAGCAGAGCACCCAAGCAGGCCCCCCATGCACCCCCCGACACCACCCCAACACCGCCACCTCACAGCGGCAGGGACGGGCCCCTCGGCCACGCCACTGCTGCCAAACCAAAGCGATCCTTCATCGAGTCAAACGTGTAAATGCTCCCTTCTATATTGACCGGGTTGTAAAACTTGGCTGGTAACATGGCAGGGGTAAGTGCTGCCCAGAGCGCTGCTGGGCTGGGCACCTGAGCCCGAGGGAAAAGCAGCCCAGGGTGGCCGGTTCTCAACGGATCCAACCACTTGGAGCTGCTCCTGCCTGCCCGGGACAGTCATGTAACTGGAACAGCAGCATGTGTAGGAGGAGTCGATGGGGCTCATTGAGCCACCCAGGTAGGGCCTCCATCACGTTCTGCCGTTAAATAAGACTTTCCTTTTACTTGGGGCTTTACTCGTGGCTTTGGCTGTGTGACATCTCACCACTCCTGTAATACTTGTGCCTCTATAACGCTTAAGTGCTTCTCTAAACAGTGTTAAGAAAGATCCCTGCATAATACTCAGATCTGTATATGTATGTGGGTTTTTTTTTTTTTAAATCAGAGATAGTATTTTATCACTTTTCTAGTGGGATGTAATTTGGGTTGCATGATGTACATTTAGGAAGCATAAATAATTTGTGTATGAGCAAACTATAAGCGGCCATGTTTTGACATGTAAATATAACTATTTTTAGTAACTAGACAAGTAAAATAAACAGTGACATTTGCATGTGTATTGAAAGGCTTTGACCATATTGGTTATTGCACTGAAGAACACAATATTATGGCATATTAACAATAACCGCACTTTATTATAGTTTATCTAATCACCTTTGGGTGCTATCTTAAAGCAAAGATGATGATTTATTGTTTATTCCTGAAAAAGGTACAGCAATGAAACGTTTAGTAAGTGTTTTTATGGGAAACCCAAGAAACTGACAGAGTGAAGATGGAAGTTTGAGAAGTGTATGTGCAGCTGCATGACAGGACGATGTGCAGTTTTGCGGAGGAAATACCAGGTTTTACTTTGGTAAGAACGTTCTGAAAATAAACAGGTTTTGTGCCATTCCTGCGAGTGCAGTTGGGTTGGTCACCATGACAGTCACTTTTCACATCTTGTTTGTGTACAGAGGTTTATGTATGTTGTAAACAGCCATATCCATTTTTACAAATTCTTTTTGAGTTTGCATCATTATGCTTTAGCTTATTTATTGTTTACTGTTTCTTTGATACTTTGTACAAGTCCTATATTAGTCTTGTCCTGTAGTTCTATTTTTGCACAGCTACTGTATTTTTTCCATACAAAATAAAGATTATTAATATACCTGTGGGCTGTGGTTACAGCAGAAACTCTCTCCCAACTTTTCCAACTGCATGTTCAGTACTAGGGAACAGAGAAAGACACATTTTAGTTTTTTTTAAATTAGAAAACCAAATAGGGGGTATATACTTTGCTACTTCTTATTCTCTGAAAGCCTGACTTGGCAAAATCAAGACTCAAAACATGTAACTACAGTAAAAATTTTAAGGAAACTGTATTTGAAAAAGTGAGTCTATTTCCTTTCTCAAGCAGTAATACTGCTAAGTAAAGCTATCAAAATGTACACCTTTTCAGTCATTTTCTAGGAGCTTCCACCAGTGAAGATTTTCTTTCTAACAAACATTTATATACATGAGAAACACAGATTAGAACAGAAACACAGATGTTTCTGATATAATTATTTCCTTCATCTGTGTCATTTCCTTTCGGTTAACTCTTGAGTAGTTTCCCTGGGTTTCTGCTGAGTCTCCAGCCAGCGAGCGATGGCCATTTTCAGTGACCTGTTCGGTGTAAGCATGAGGGAGGTGAGAGGAAGATTTGTCATGGGACTAGATCGTCTCTTATTGCTGATCCAGTTTTCCACTGCTTCCTTTTCATAGGAGTAGCCATCTGCAGAGAGACCATCATCAACAGCTGATGTTACAGCCACATGGGCACCCTTACCCTGTACAGGTTTAGCTCTTTAAGTTTCTAAGGGATGTAAAGGGAATCTTTACTACAGAAGCATTACATGGTCTGTGAAAGCTGTACCATAAACTCAGAGATACTTGTTCTAAATGTTATTAGAATAAAACTTTATAGAGCAGTATTAAGATCAAAATTTTGTTCAACTTCTTAAATCCCTCTAGAAAAGGCTCCATGTTCTCAGAGATCTCTCGCCGCTGGCGTGAGGGCACCTGGCCGGGGGATCAGGTGAGGAGGGGGGATTAGACCACGTTCATGCATGAGCTCGTGGCTAAGGCACACGAGTGCAAAAGAGGATCCAATTACACAAAGTCTTCCCGTGTCCTCAGCTGGGGTTAAGCAGTATGTACAGCCAGATGTAAAAGGCGGGGTCAGCGCAGCCTCTCAGGTCTGAGTAAGGGACAAGCACAGGCCCAGCACAGTGACCAGCTGCTGCCTCCCTCCCCTGTGAGACCAGCAGATGATGCTCATCAAGGTGCCTGCAAGAGCAGTTGCTTGGCTCTGCAGTACTTCAGAACTACCCCCTGTTGTCAAGCCTCACCACACATCTGCAAGTACTGCCCCCCACCCCAAAACTTGCCAAAAATCTTATCACAATGTTTGTGTTTGTTAGTTAAGGACAAGGGGAGAGGAAAGATACAGGGTGCGGAACCATTACTGTACATGGAATAGATGGTAACAGAACCAGCATGTCTGTTAGTTAAAAAGTCCTTACAGGAGGGGACAAATCCCTGCCAAAAAAAAAAAAAATTAAGCTGTGCTTTAGCAAAAATGCAAAATGACATATTGGTGTTAAAAGTTACTGTACACCTTCAGTTAATAAAACTTAGATTTCAGTCACAATTTAAGCAAACATTTCCAAGTAAATACTGTAATTGATCACACACACTGTGGACATTTTATTCTAAAAGGTCGTTTCTCTTAAAAATGCCTACTCGACTTTGTAATAGACATATGAATAGCAACTGACAGTAATTTTCAGCAACAAAATCCTCCTCTAAAACTATGTAGCCTTATTTCAAAATTGTATTTAAAAAAGGATATGGAAGGCTGTCCTCCTACTGCTGTCCTTTAGAAGCCCCAGCCCTGTTAGGTGCAGTGCTTACCACTCCAGCAGTTAGCAAATGTTTTCATGTTTTCATTCTCAAAAGTCTGGCCTGATACCTCAAAACTGTGTAAAGTTAGTCACTGTTCACAGAGCATCAAAAAAATACACAGTCATGATGATCACAGGCCACCTCCCTGCCCCCAACATCAGAACTATAAGACACTGGTTCTTCATAAAATGTCTGAACTACGTAACATTATCTGCTCCTTGTACGTCTCAGTTCCAAGGTCTTGTTGCATTTAAATGACTCGTGTTCTGTACAAACTTTTCAGTGCCATACACATGGTCTGCTAAAGGTAGTAACGAATGAACCTGGTTTTCGGTTTCCCTTGCCCTGTGTGCACAATTCCATTTTGCACTTACCGAGACAATTCTGTAATTAGGCCTGTAATGATCTTTGCAAAGGTACATAAAGGAAGAAACAGTAAAAAGAAAAAAAAAAAAAAATCTATATAGCCTCATCAGCAGAGCTGACACTAAGCTAATTGCTTGATACAGTATTTTTTTCCTATCAGACATCTAATTTGGCTAATTAAACATTTAACACCATTCTATTTTGCTGCAGAAGCTATTTAGAAAAGTTTAGCTTTCTACAACTGATAAGATGTGCCCAATTTCATGTTTACACACTTCGTGAACATCATTTAAAGACCTACCTGCTGCAATGACAGGATCCTTCATAAGCTCTCTTGTTATGGGACATAAGAACTCGTCAGGGATGGCAAGAGGAACAGAGATCATCCTCAGCTCTTCAATCTTCTGGAGGACTTTACTGCGCAGGCCTAGAGACTCTGAAAAGTTATTTGTACATGAAGTGGACAACACAGACACATAAAGCAGAGGTCAGGTCTTGCACTAATTAGCAGTTGTGTTAAAGGAGACAGTTATATCTCACCCCCCAACTAACACAGAGACATCTGCAGGGCATTATCATGCAAGGCATCACAAGCACCAATTCACAGATCTTCCCCCATGAAGGAACACAAGTTTATTTAAGTATCCAAAATTTGAGTACTTACTATTTACTGAGGATATACCAACAGCTGTGGAAAAAAAGAGCCTATCTGTGTTTGAGACAGCAGCCATACTTTCCAACTTAATTCTAAGACAAGGAAAACAGAAATCTGACAACAAGAAAAGTAATTTTATAGATCTATAAACTGTCACACTTTTAACCTGTCACGATTGGAAATGCATCCCAAGGTATCAGTAATCTTGCATCAGCATAAAACATTCCTCCTTTTAAAAATTGTTTTATGTCAAAAAACCTGCGGGTGTAATGTGCCACAGTTGTTTCTTCCCATCTAGTAGTGGTAAATACTAGATCCTACTCTGGTCAAGCTTCCCTCTTCGGTACTAAAATAAGCGTTGATACAAACACTCCAGCTGCAGAGTGCCAGGCAGCCTGCCCTTCCCACACCAGCTTTACTGCACTCAAATCAAATCAGCTGCCTCAAGTACTGTGCGCAATGGGGTAAAACTCAGTCACATGGAAACACAACTCTTTTGAATCAGAAAAGACAAAAGATGTCACAGAGTAAGAAAAACATATGCAAAAGTTAACCTAAATTTCCTTAGTAAGGATTATGTAATGACATATGTAAAGATAAAGACAATGTAAGAACTTATATACAGAATTGAAGCACGGTAAAATTTCATGCTTATTCTTAGGAAGAGCTTGCATGGCAATTTTGTAAAAAGCTACAAGATCACTTTCTAATCAAGAAATATTAAGAATATAACACTAAAAGAAAGGGGGGGG